CACATGGGGATGCGAAGCGCGACACCGCGATGGCCGCACGCGATCGTTTGCACGCGCACGAGTACGATATGAAAATAGACGAGTCCGTACCGGAGTATACGCAGCGCTTTTACGATATTGTTCGCGAAGCGAATGATATGAGTGTTGCGGATCAAATCTCTTGGTATATTAAGGGCTTAGTTCCTGCGCTGCGCGGTCGCTGCGCTACGGACGATGAGGGCAAAGACTGGCAGGATTTAGAAAAGCTAATCCTGTATGCTAGCGGTCAGGAGGTTCGGTGGAAAGCCGGAAAGGACAAAGCACAGCTTGCTGTAGTTACTACGCAAGCTGGCCCGTCTAAGATAACTTCCTTTCGCCCTAAGCAAACTTGTTGAGATATAGGCGAGTGGAACTGTGTAGGTAAAGCCAACCTTAACCGTTACAGGTATCACAGGACAAGCTCCCAGACAGAAATCATCTCCTATATACCAAATATTCCATCTTATCTGTCGTACAGCCGTTAGTGTTCTGGCCGGAAGTCAACACTCCCCCTCGGACGGAACACTCGGGCGAATCCAACTCAACGAACACCCAGCCCTTCTCGAAACTGCACGAACTTCCCTTCCGGTAACGGCTTCGTGAGGATATCCGCTACCATACTGGTAGTGGGACAGTACTCAAACTTCACCTGCCCCATAGATACCCTCTCACGCACAAAGTGATGGATCACATCGATGTGCTTCGCGCGTTCCGAAACAATCGGATTCTTTATCAGACTTAATGCTCCCTGGTTGTCACCCCAGATACGCATCACGTCGACCTCACACCCAAACTCGGGCAGAAGTTTCCTCAGCCAGAGCGCTTCGCGAGTAGCTAAGGACGCCGCCATATACTCGGCCTCCACAGTCGATGCTGCTACAGTCGGTTGCAACCGACTCTTCCAGCTGACGGCTCCACCGCCAAGGATAAAGGCATATCCAGTTGTCGAACGGTGGTTGTCTCGGTCCACTGCCCAGTCCGCATCGGCATAACCCTCAATTGCCTTGCTGTCCCTGGCAAAACATAAACCGAAACTCGCAGTCCCTTTCAGATATCTCAGGATATCCTTAGCAGCCTCCCAGTGAGCCTTCGCCGGCTCAGACATATACCGTGCCAACTTAAACACAGCATGCGCGATATCAGGATGCGTGCACACTGCCAGATACATCAAACCACCAATCAACTCTCGGTAGCGCGTTGCATCCAACAATACCTGATCGATATCACTAGTACGGTTCAGAACTAGATTTGGCGTCATAGGAACCGACTTAGGAACTGCATCCTCCATCCCGAACTTGGCCAACAATTCGGCCGTATATCGCTGCTGCGAGATTTTGACCTCGCCTAACTCCTTGCTCCGACTGATTTCCATACCCAAAAAGAACGACACCTCCCCCAAATCACGGAGGTCAAACTCAGCCTTCAACTCTTGCTTTATACGGGCTATTTCCTCGCTTTTATTGCTCGCGACTAGCAAGTCGTCTACGTGAGCGTATAGCCACACAACAAATGACTGTTCTTCCAGCGTAAAGAAGCTGGGATCCGCATCAGAAACCTTAAAACCAATGGCCTCGAGCATTTCCCGCAACTTCTGGTGCCAAGCTCTGCCTGCCTGGCGTAAACCGTACAACGCTTTCCACAACAGACACTTCATACCTGCGCCACCCGTTTCAAAACCAGGCGGTTGGTCACAATAAATCACCTCCTCCAGCGTCCCGTTAAGGAACGCAGTGCGCACGTCTAGGTGGTGTACCTCAAATCCTTCAGCCGCGGCCTTCGCCAGGAATGTACGCAACGTCACCTGATTGCTACCAGGCGCGAATACCTCGTTGAAATCAACACCTTCCTTCTGCTTATAGCCCTTTGCTACCAACCGGGCTTTGTATCGTTCCACTTGTCCGTCTACACCCCGCTTCACGTCGTACACCCACTTCACCGGAATCGGTTTCACCCCAGGCGGCGGTACCTTCAGCTCCCACGTATCTAATGCGTGGATAGATCCGATTTCTTCAGCCATCGCCTCCTGCCATTTGTCCCGTTCCGGAGAGGCCATCGCCTCTTCGTAGGTGCTCGGGATGTTGACGTCCGATACATTAACAGCAAGGTTGAGTCGTTGGGGCGGATGACGGTCACGTTGGGGATAACGGTGTTGTGTAGAGGCAGCTGCACCAGCTTTATCCTCCCCCTCAGCTGCCTTACCGACAGCTTTAGGTTTCCCCTTAGTGGTCCCGCTGGTAGTCTTAGGCTTCCCTTTGGCGGAATCGGCTGCATTGCCGGTAGCCGTAGGTTCCTCCTCAGGTGCCTCAGGTGCTGCGCCAACTACCATAGGCTCCCCCTCATTCAACTCAGCTGAATCTCCAATCGCCGCGTTCCCCTGACTATCCTCTACGGCCTCACTTGGACTAAACTGCTCCCCCTGCCGGGGAGGGGCTACAGTCTTGAAACTACTGCTAGCCACATCGTCCTCATCATCACTATCGCTTCCGCTGCCGCTACTTTCACTATCATTCGTAGGCAGCGTGCGGGACGTTGGCGTCTCCTCAAAGAGCATGCTCCTGCTCACTACGATGCGCTTAGACCCGTCTAATAATATCTGGTATCCTTTACAGTTGCGCTCGTAGCCCACCAAGACACCCTTCTGGCTCGTTGCATCGAGCTTATTGCGGTGCCTCCTCTCGACATGCACCCACGCAGTACACCCAAACACGCGCAAATCAGAGACATCTGGCTTCACACGGTGGAAAACTTCAAAGGGCGTTATCTGCTTGCCCGACACAGGCGAACAATTGTGCAGGGCACATGCAGTGGTAATAGCTTCGGCCCATAATTCATGCGGCAATCCTGAGTCTTGCAACATCGCGCGGGTCTTCTCCAGGAGTGTGCGGTTCAGCCTCTCAGCGCGGCCATTTTGCTCAGGAGTGTACGGCACGGACGTGTCGTGCTGGACCCCCTTACCCTTAAGGTACTGTCCTAAAGCCTTATTCAAATACTCCCCACCGCGATCCGACTGAACTGCTAGCAGCTTCTTGCCCGATTGGGTCTCTAACAGCTGCAATACTTCCTGGGCCGCTTCCGGAACTTCTCCCTTCGTCCCTACACAGCGCACCACTGCAAAACTCGAATGCTCATCCAGAAACGTGGCGACATACCTTGACCCGCCCATAGACGGAACAGGCATCTCACACACATCCATATGCACTCGCTGCAAAACACGGTTTGCTGCATTCCCAGACGGAGGAAAAGACGCGCGGGTATGCTTGGCCTTCACACACGGCTCACAGATACTCTTCTCCTTCACCTTCTCCCGGATTTCAGCCGCACTCAGGCCCATACCAGTGACCATTTCATCAGACACGAGCTTCTCTAAATTACCGTACCCTATGTGCCCGAACCGACGATGCCAAAGTCCCGCAGATTCGGACAAGACCGCCAGGGTTTGAACGCACTCCCCCTGGCCCAACCGGGTCGCCTTTAGGTAGCAATGGGTGCCTACTCGCACACACGGGATTTGCTCCCCGTACTCCCACTCCAGGCTTGCGTACTTCCTCATCCGCGGAGAAAGCATTTTAGGGTGAACCGGGACTCGGCTGACAAGACGTTTCGGCTGCCTAACCACAGCAACCGGCCCACGAAAATCCACGTGGTAACCCTTCAGACCTAGTTCGCCTACCGAAATCAGCTTGTGACCTAGTCCCGGCGCATGATACACATTCTTTAGGGTAATCTTAATCTTGCCATTCTCTCCCTCTGCTTCTAGCAGGACGGTACCCACTCCAACCGTCTTGCAAATCGCACCCGCCACACCTTCTAGGACTATGCCGTCCGTGAGCGGTACGTACTCGCTGAAGTCCGACCGGTCGTCCGTAACATGGACGGCCGCTGCCGAGTCCATTTTCCAAGCCAGCTTGGCGAGCGACTTCTCAGCTGTTGCCTGGATTTCCGCGGCTTCGGAGGTAGTGGAGGTGGTTAGGGCCATTACCAGCTGCTTGCTGCGTCGGTTGTTGCCCTTGTTGTTGCCCCTTGTGATGAGCGGGCACTGAGACTTGATATGCCCAAGAACGCCACATTTATGGCACTTATGGGTTGCATAGGGGTTGATGGAAACGTCAGGCCCGCCAGAGCTGGTACTCGCCCCGACGTTGAAATTTCCCTGGCCTTTACCAGCTCCACTACGGTAGTCGCCACCGAAGCCACGGTGGCCTACCCCACTGCTCCGGTTGCTAAACGCCAGGGCCTCGGCCTGGGCCCACTCTGCGTTGTTG